GCCGGGCAGAGTTTGGACTATGTGCTGCCCCGAACCGTGCAGAAGGTGCTCGGCCAGGAAGTGACCGGTCAGACCAGGATGCTCGGTCTGAGGATTGTCGAGATCAGACAGACCGAGAGGCCGGCGCTCGGAAAGGCGCGGTCAGCCGAGGTAGTTGATTGACCGGCAGGAAGGCCAACCAAAGGAGGTGCCCGGGCTAGGCTTTGCCGAGATGCCGCCTAGCCCGGTCATCCATGTGTTTGTCCGGCTAGGCGCATGAGTATTAAGCATGACATGGCCGAGGAAGAGCAGCTCGGCTGCTGAGCTCCAGCTGCGAAGTCAGGCAGATGAGGTTAGGTGGTGAATGGCATGGTTTATGCTGACAGATGGGATAGCAGAGCCACGTGTCAGGAGATGATTGGGAGTGGATATGGGGCTCAGAAGGTATGAAAGCATGCCTGCGCCCCCCATACGCAACACGAACATCTCTGTAAGAAATCCTTACACTAAAACACTCTCTCCCTTCTTTCTATTTCCTCTAAGGTGTGTGCTAACTTGACCGTCGGAGGGTTTTTCCGGCCACACACCGCCGGGTAGCTCACCGTTATTTGCTCGCAGGTGATCGGATATCGACGGAGCTCGGAAGAAAGGAATACGGGCACGCCGGAATATTTGCTCCCCGTACAAGTATGTATTCGTTTTGTGACTGTGTAGGTCACGCGCCACAAGACGTTTGATTTGCCCATTCTGTCTATTTGCCTTGAAGCCTTCTGGTAATTGTGAGTAATAACCTTGTAAAGCTATGTTTACTTATAAGTATTTTCTGGCCGATATGACATGAACTGTTCTTTGAAATGCTATTTGTGAATCATGAATGAATATCCATTTTTCTGAAATGTATTTGTGGCATCCATAGTTCACGTGGCCCTTACCCACGGGTAATAATACCGTGGCTGACATACACATGGCCCTCGCCCAGGGGTAACAATACCGTGGTTTATGTTTACATGGCCCTTGCCCAGGGGTAACAATACCGAGGCCTATATTCACATAGCCCTCGCCTGGGGGTAACAATTCCATGGCTACTTGTGCACAAGATATGGACTTTTGTGGTCGTCAGTACCGATTATACATGGGAGTCTCAAGACTAAGTTGATGTGATAGCTAATGGATGTACCACTTATAAGTTATAACTGTTATGATTTCTGGATAAGTATGTGAACTTGAATCTATTTCTGATTTGAAATTTGAATATGCATAAGAATCTATTTCAGTTATAAACTCTGTTTTCTAACTCTAAGATGGGTATTATTTATTAAACTCTTTATCTTGTTATTATTCACTGTGCTTCCGCTCACTTTAGTATTTATGTATGTAGGTGACCGGGCACGTGACTAGGCTCAAGTTGATAGCTTGGAATTCCGTTTTGTAAGCCACCCTTTGCGCCTCCCAAGGAGGTTATGAATCAAGTCAAGCCATGTGGTTATGTCTTTTTGAACGTTCAACACTTTGTCTTCTCTAGTTTAATGAACAGTTTGTCGTTATCTATATATGGGGTGACATACAATTATTGTATCTGTGTGATGTCATGTTTATGCTTATAAAGTTTAAAATTATTTTGTCCCATGTATGTCTGCATAGCTCAATGGATGTCGTATTTTGTATATTTGCTTCCGCAGCCCCTTGATTATATGTTATTCTGTTAAGAGGCCTTTGGTAATCCAAGGATTACTGGCCGGTTACGATGCCAAACCTATAGGGGCGGGTTTGGATCGTGACACCTAAAGCCTAACCCTATTCTTCTTCATCACCATTTTAAACCCACATATTCATGTTTGATGAAAAACATTTGAAACCACCTAATCAGTTAACATTTTATGCGGTGGTTTCAAATGTGTTCAGTGTTCCAAATCAGTTAACGTTGTAAACAATCCTATTACAAACTCCAAGTTTCTACATTTGTAGCCATTTTCACCATTCGTTGATACTTATAAAGCAATGGATGACAATGACAACAACTCTGATGAGGTTGGCGTTGCATTGGTAAGTTCATCTATCTTGCATTTACGATTCTGGGCCATGTAGCTTGCTTTTCATGCTCCTTTTGGATACGATAGCCCTACAGTTCGGACTCCCGTAGTTCTGAATCTAATTTCACAAGTGCAATGTGAAATAGATAAACACAAATAAGTCCAAATCCGATAATTCTTTTGAAAAATCGATTTTGAATCAAAAATGCCAAAAATGATCTGCATTGCCATATTTTAGAGTCGCTACCTAAATATTTTTGAAAAATTAAAAAACTCGTGACTCGTGCCAAAGGCCATGTGTCCATCATCACCAAAGTGTCTCGGCTCAGGAACTTAGGTATGAGAGAGGAAGGTCATGAATTGAGCACCCCACTCACCTGATCAAAGATCGGCCTCTACTAATCATGATGTGATTCTTATTTACATTATATGCTCTTGTTTCGATTTATTAATGCTATCTTTACTAGGTGATGCACACAAGTATAGACTAGTTCGCTCAATTTAGAATGCTTTGATTTCATGTTTGTTTTGAAAAGTATTTGAATATGTGTCACTTGAAAAAGTGGGCTCATATATACATTAATCAAATCATCCTAACTTAAGCAATTAGCCTTTATCCATTGGCATTCGAGAGATATATCACTTAAGCACTTAGCCTCATGGTAACATGCTTGACATGGTAACAATCACATCTATGTAATATGCTAAAGCAAAAAATGTTCACCTAGTACGCAACCGAGGCAAGCCAAAAAGAAATACTATAGTTAGAAAAAATGCATGATCCTAACAATATAAAAATGACTAATGTAATAAATACAT